GTGGGGGGCCTGGGGCTGCTGCCCCAGGTGGCGTCGGCGCTTGTGCCGGGCCGGGGCTGCTCCCCCCCGGGGCAGCGCGGGGGGCTGGGTTTTCGGAGGGAACAGTCGCCGACTGTTGTGCCGCAGTGGCAGATTGCAGCCTGCGTGGAGGCCCGAGCCTCCTGCCCCGGGGCTGCGCTGCAGGTCTAGGGAGGCCTTTGGAGATGGGCTGCTCTTAGGCCCGTTACTCCCCAAGGACCTGCGGGTGGCTCGTGGGTGGACGCTTGCTTTGGGTGCATCACTGTTTCACCTAGTTTCCTAGATGCTGATGCTGCTTCGCAGTCCCTGGTGGCTGCGCTGATCTAAAGCCGCCCTCCTGCCTGAACCTGTCCCCAGGCCTCTAGCAGCCGCTGGCACGCTGTGGTTGTAGTGAGCAGCTAGCTGACTCCTCTCACATTCAGCTCCTATCCTGTAGGAACAGGCTCTTCTAACAGCCATGCCTGGCTAGTGGTGTGTGAAAATATTACCTTGGTGCATTGGTGTTTCTGACGTTTATGAACTTAATTACAAAACTACAGAGAGAAGTATGGTTCTTAAAGCTCCATTTCTGACATGTACAGAAAGCTTTGATGTGAAAGGTACAGTAAAAGCATACATGGATGTTGCTGGCTCCTGTATGTTACTGCTTTGGCTGACTGACTGTCACAGGGATACAGTGGAGAAAAAGTGATTTGTAGACAACAGAAATTGCTAGTCAATGGTAGGGACTAGCGTCTGTGCAGAATTCGTAGCAAAACGTAAATGCTGTCATCTCTTATATAGATACAAGTGAAGAGAGTCCCCGTCTTTTTCTACTTTACTCCACCAATATTAGTATATTCAACTGTTACATTAACAGCAGGGTTTTTTTAATTTTTTACCCCAGATGTCAGTCATCAGGTGATCTGTAGTTCTTACCAGGACTACTTCTGTGCATATATTCTCTCTAATAAGGCTTTTAACTGCACATGTTGGTCCCTCTGTGTCTTTATTTTTCATCTCTTAATAACAGAACAGTTTTTCTTCTACAACACATTCTTGTGATACGTTTGATCCTCTTAGCTGAGCACTACTTTCTTACTCAACCCCTGAAAAAAAACTTGCTCCAAGTGGTGATCTACAAGAGCTTGGCTTCTCAGCCCATGCATCCCATCAGCTAACTTCTACAGACTGTGCCTCTACATGTGTTGCTGAGAGCTTATAGTTTCCACAAGGCCTTTTGGCTTGGCTGACTGGCTGTGGCGCTGTGTTAGTTAGGATTGCATTCCCTAGAGTTGGTGAAGCCATTGCCATCCCGTACAGTTTCAGTGACTTTGACTAACGTAACTAGAATTAGTCTGTGGCCTAGCATTCAGGAGGAGGCAGGGTAAGTTATTCAGACTGTAACTGTTTTTTCTTCAGAGAAGTAATTTGTTTGGGTTGCTATACTGAATGGTTGTATTGTAGAGTTACAGCAAATGCATAGGAAAAAGAAAAGAGTGAGTAAGAAAGGATTTCTATCTGTCTTATGTTGGTTTTGTTTGTTTTCAAATGGCAGATGCTTTCTTCACCTGTCGAAAGAATGTGCTTCTGGCGAAGAGCACGTCCACCCAGATAGAAGGCATCTTTGCTGCGACCAGAGGAAAGTCGGTCCCAGAAGAGCAAGAAGCCCTTCTCCAACAGTGGCTGGAGGAAGGAGCAGGGAATTTGTCAGCCAGTGAGAGTGCTCCAGCAGTGGGGAAAGCATCAGTTACACTCACTAGTGACTGGTTAGAAGGTTCAGAGCTATTGATGACTAGCCTCAGCAACCTGAATTCGGCTCCAGAAGTCACCTGGTGTGCTGGTCAGCAGCTCACAGAGCTACACGCCTTGGCTTCTTCAGAACCGCAAGATCATGAAGTGACAGAACTGGCAAAATTACCAGCAGAGGAAACAGTGGCTGTAGCAGGCAGTGCCCCTTGGGCAGCTGTGGTGCCACAGATGGATCATCAGATAGCTGGCTGTGCCACTATCGATGTAGAAGTGCAGAATGAAGACCCAGCTGTGCTGGCCTGGAGCTTAGCGTGTGGTGCAGAGACAGTGCCAACGGAGCCCCCAGCCTGGCCCATTCAGGATACGGTACAATTTTGTCCGCTCGCAGCAGAGGTACCCTACCATGGTCAGTAGTAACAGCTCTGAATCTAATATTTGGTTTGGGACTTGCATTTGTAGTGAATGTGGTCAGGTTATTGTGTCTGGGCTTGCTGTCAGTAAGACATTGATTGCATCTGTCCATGCAGAATTGGCAGGATCTGCTAGTGAAAACTATAAAGTGAGTTTTTGCTGAGGGAGGGCTGGTCACAGCTAGTAGTCTCTGTGCTGTTAGACTGTCTGGTCTGAGCATCAGTACATGTTCATTTCCCAGGAACTGTTCCCAGGTGCTGGCTTTATAATATAAAAAGCACCCAAAGGCTGGTTGAGTGTTTCAGTATGCTTGACTCTGGTCTTCTTTTAAGCCATCCCCATTGACAACTATCCAAAGGCATCCAAAAAGACCACCTGAAAACCACAGTGGGTGAGGGTTTGCTCAGAGGCAAGAACATCCTAGCTTAGAGAATGAGAATGGCTATATTCTGGGTCCTGGGGGAGCAAAAGCATCAGCAGGATAGCCAGCATGGCTGTAACTTGGCTTTTTGTCTCTTGCATATAGAGATTTTATGGAGAGACTGGGAGGATCTTTCTGTCCAACCCTGTGTGCTAGAGCAGGTCTCGAGAAACACTCCTCTCTTTGAATTTCGAGTCATGTCTTACAACATCCTTGCCCAGGACCTGGTGGAACAGGGCCTTGATCTGTATCTACACTGCCATCCAGACATCCTGAACTGGAACTACCGCCTTCCAAACCTTTTGCAGGAGATCCAGCACTGGGATCCTGATGTGAGTATGACTGAGCCACATCAGTGTCAACAGAATTTGAATTCCTTGTTTGATCTAACAGCATTAAAAAAAAAAAAAAAGATAGAGGCGAAGTCCTAGGAAGATACTACCTGCTTCGTAACTGAACACCAATTCCTCACTGAGGCCATGTGCATACGTTTTTTTGGTGTCTGTCTTGCTTTGGTTATGTTACTGTAGAAACTAGTCATACTTTTAAACAGCAGTAGAAGAGGAAGAAGAGATAATGTGTGTTTGGGAAGGAAAGGACCAGGTTTGTAAGGCAGCACAAGAGGGGAAGCCTGCATAGAAGACTTTCGCTATTCCTTGAGTCCTCTTTGTGTGATAAAGGATCTTCTGCCTCGGCACTGGAAAACTGAATGATAAGCTAATATGACCCAGAAAGTTATTGCTCTCTATCTGGAAAGTACAGGACAGAGTTGCAGTGATGACCTTTCTGGTTGCAGGGTTGGTATGTGAGTGCACTTTTCCACTTTCTTTCTTCCCCCAAACAAGGTAACTAGCAAATACTGGTGGAGCAAGTGAGGTCTCTGCCTTCCTTCTAGGTTCTGTGTCTCCAGGAGGTGCAAGAGAACCATTACTGGGAGCAGCTGGAACCGACATTCAAGGAGATGGGTATGTCCTGCTTTTGTGTGTCTATACCTCCAGCTCGTGGGACTGGCCTAGCATTGCTTCCTGCTTAATGTCTTCAAGGCACTCGGCCTTAAGAGAGCTGTTCCTGTTTGTCAGGTGGCTGCTGGCCCTGCTTCTGAACTGTCTGCCTAGACCTTTACCCTTTCATTTGTAATTGATCTTTCAGAGAGTTGACAGATCAGAGTAACAAAACTGAGGGGGTCCTAGAAGGGCAAGAAGAGAGAAAATAGCCTCAATGATAAATGATAAACTGATTATTGGAACAGAATTGGGTATAATGCTGTACCCAAGTGTAGTAGAAACCTCTTCTGCTGCACAGACTTGCTAAACTCCCCAGCTGATGGGGGGAGACTGAAGTAGTGACTGGATAAACCTTTTAATAGGTGATGGTTTCTTTTCAGGCTTTGCATGCTTCTATAAACGGAGAACTGGGGCGAAGACAGATGGCTGTGCAGTGTGCTATAAACACAGCAGGTTCCAGCTGATCAGCCTCAGCCCCATAGAATACTTCCGGCCTGGCCTGGACATCCTCAATCGGGATAATGTGGGCTTGGTGCTGCTGCTACAGCCTCTGCTCCCAGAGGGCCTAGATCTGAAGGCAGTCAGTCCGTTGTGTGTGGCCAACACTCATGTATTGTTCAATCCCCGGCGGGGAGATATCAAACTGGCCCAGATGGCCTTGCTCTTAGCAGAGATTGACAAGATTGCAAAAACTACTGAAGGCAGCTACTATCCTGTCATCTTGTGTGGAGACCTGAACTCTGTACCTGATTCTCCACTCTACAAATTCATCCGGAATGGTGAACTTTCCTACCATGGGATGCCAGCCTGGAAGGTAGGTGCCAGCCAGAGCTGGCATTGGGTAACTCCTTATTGCATGCTGCTAGAGAAATGCATGGCTGCATTCTTTCTCTTGTGAGGAAATAGTCCAAATATTGAATTCAGTTATTCAGCAGTCTTCCCCAATGCTCCAGCACTGCTGGGGAAAGAAGCAGACGAATGTGTGTGTGTTGTTTTCCACCACTGCTCTTTTGGTTTCTCTTGAGGCAGACCAGTGATAATATACCACTTAATTTCAGGTCCTGGTTCTCCCTTGCTATGGGATTTTTGTGCCTGGGTGACTGGAAGTGTAGGGGAGTACAACTCCATCGAGACTTACCGAAATTTTATGTGGATGTTTGATCTGAAAACAGGCACCTGTGCTAGAGTCTGTTGTGGTTACCTGTTACTGTGTATCCATGATCAAATATGTCATTGGCTTTCAAGCTAAATCATCAGTTCAATAACAGATGCCTGCAAAGTATCTTGTCAGGTGACTTTTAGCTAACTGTATCCGTCCCCCACAGTTGAAGGTTTATTATATCTGCGCCATATTCTGAATAGCTTAGTTCATGTCTTTCTTTGAGGGCATTCTCCTGTCTTGCTCTTGGCAAGTGTGTATACGTACATTGTCTATAGCTTGCTAAAGTTCTGCTCTGTGTTGCTGATGTTTTCTCTCCTGTTTCTGGCCTCCTTGCAGGTGTCTGGTCAGGAAGACTTTTCCCAGCAGTTGTATTCACGGAAACTGCTGGCCCCACTGTGGCCGAGCTCGCTGGGTATAACGGACAACTGCCAATATGTCACTCTGTGCCAGCCAAAGAAATCAGGTGAGTTCCAGTGTCCACTGAGAACATGAGTCTGCTGAGGATGGACAGTTTGTGGGCCTTGCTGTCTCTCTCAGTAGCTTGGGCATGTGTTGCATGAGGCACTCAGCAAAGATTCTCTTCTTCTATCCATTTCCTTGGTACGTGAATTAAATTTCATTTTTCTAGAGTCCATTGCTGTAGCCCAATTTCTGCTGTTTTCTTTCTCTAGTCAGGAGTGGAATGGTCCCCTACCAGTAACGATTGCTTTATGTATCTAATATTCCCAGACTTACAGTTTTGTGCAGTTGTAAACCATGTTCAGCAGCCACAGCTTTCAGCTGCAGGTGTTTGTGGGAGTGGTTTTGGGCAGTCTTTGCACATCACTGTTAGGACATCATTCCTAAGAGCCGAGTTACAATCATGACTGTACTATACTGTCCTTAGAGAGAACTAAAAAAAAAAGAAGGAGCCCACACTAAATAGCTTTTGTTGGAATCTTGGATGTGGAACTTGTCTGCTGCAAAAGAAAAAACAATTCTGGAGATCGGGTTGAATACATTTCCTTGAGCTGCACACTAACTGATCTGCTTAGAAGTCCTTGAACTTATGGTGTCTCAGAGGGGACATTTCTTAATTTGTTTCATCAAGATGCTGACCATGGCTGTTGCATTAGCTAAAGGGATAGAAATAACTGTGCTCTGTTCTTCTACATTTACACGTTTGTTCTGTTCTACGTTTAGGTTATTAAGTGATTTCCATTCTCGTGGTATCAGAGTGCTTGGGCACAAAAACCTCTCTCAAACTAAAGAGGTCTAAGAGGTCTAAAGAGTTTGCAGATGTTCCCTGTAGATGTGACTTTGCTGCAGTTATTTTCTTCTTTTAACTTCTATTTTTCTCTGCAGGCAGACGTAAGTACAGCCGGGACTTCCTGCTCCAGTTTCATTTTTGCGATGTTGCCTGTGAACGACCACCGCAGCTGGTCCTCTTGGAAGGTGTGACAGATGCTAAACCAGGTATTAATGGGCAATTTTTCAGCTTGTGACTCTCCTAGCTCGATTTTGATGAAGATATCATGTGGAGGTAATGCCTGCTGAGAAAAGGGGAAGGCAGAAGGGTGCCTTCTGTGGCTGTGTGATTACTAATGGATTCCATGAGAGGTCAGAGGAGTACAGTCTTACCACCCTCATACACAGTGTATTCCTTGAGATGCACTGAGATTCAGCCTCTTTTGGAGGCTGTTTCTTAGAAAGTGAAATATATTTATATTTCTTTTTTTCTGCTTCAAGATTTTTGGTAGGGGGAGAACAAACCTGGAGACTGTGATGTCACAATGGCCACAACATAGATGTTTCTGGATGCTGGTACCCAGCAGACACTGCCTCACCTCTGTGCCTTGTGGCATGGCTGATTCTGCTCTCTCCAATTCTGTTCTGCCTTTCTAGACACCCTTTGAGTAAGCTGTAGGCTAAGGCAAATGAACTTTCTTTGAGAGCAAAGGTTGAGGTATGCTGAGCTTTGATAATATTGAATGCTATTAAGGACATGTCCTTAGCAGGACAGAATATGACTTCTTAGTTGTTTGCACTGATCTGCTCTCAGAATGTTCCTGTTAGTCTTAGAGATGGGGTTTCCTCTGAATATTTTTCTTTAAGGTGCCTGTGACTGGACGCTATCTGCTCTTCTTGGGCAAAAAGTTTCATTTGGTCTCAGGAGAAGCTTCTCAGACTTGGGATGAGCAGCCTGTGCCAGGATCTGTGTAGGTCTGGCTGGAATCTCTTTGCTCCTTTGCAGACCGCCCTGCACATTGGCCCAAGCCTGCTGACATGGTGAACGACCCTGATCCCCAGCCATTTGTCCCAAGGTAATTTGGTGCATCTTCAATGGCCCCACTCTTCAAGCCTGGTCTCGTTTTCTTGAGCACTGTAAATCTGGCTGCAGTAAAGACAGAAATAGAGGTGAGGGTGGAAGAGAGTAAAGGAGGGCTGTCTGGAAGAGCCAGATCCACACAGGGTTGTCCCAGCAGCTCGGCGCTGTTCTGTCAGCATTGTGTTGATGAGATCGAGAATGACGGGCATAGACAGGACTGGGTATTGGAGACAAAGGAAGTTCCTAGTCCACTTTGTCTTTGGTGTAAGTGGAGTGAATAATTCTGAAGGACTGTCTTTTATGTGTTCCCAAAGTAGAAATAGTTTGGACAGTTACATCACCAAGGGAACATCCAACTTCAGCTCTGACCGCAGTGTGGAACACTGCATCATTCTCTTTCCTTCCTTGGTAAATGGTGGCTGTTCATGTGCAGGTCTTCAGGCATTATCCAGCATGGGCTCAACCTGACCTCTGTCTACAGCCACTTCCTGCCACAGAGGGGACGCCCAGAGGTCACAACGATGCCCATGGGGCTTGGAGCCACTGTTGATTATATCTTCTACTCAGCAGAACTCATGGAGAATGGGAGCAGGGGCGGTGAGTGTGGCAGTGCGGGGCTTACCCCTGTGATGTTGGGAGAGGGCTGTGAGGCATGCTAGAATGCAGCTCGGTGTTGGGCGGTGCATTTCGTTGAGCTGGGGTGGATCTACAGGGTGTGACTTTGACTGAAATGATGCACAAAGTGGAAGCAACATTTGCTCAGGTGTGAGAAGACGCTGTTTGTCTTTGCTGTGGAAAAACTGAAGCTGCTTAGCTTAGGTTCATGTAGACTTTTGAGGAAGCTAGAACAGAATAGAGTCTGTTCTTTTGTATAAGCATCTTATTTGTGCTCCTGATAACAGGCAGTGCTGGGTCCTAAGTTCAAGGCTTGGACTTCTGGTCTGACTGAGACCACACACTGGCCTTAGAAGGCGGTGACTCTGGTTACCTTACAATGGTACCATCCCTCTGCTACCTGAAACAGGAGTTATGTTGATGAAAGACAGCATGTAAATGCATCCAGGAACTGTCTCTGAGCTGGTTTGGATCATGTCAAAATCAACTCTGGAGAGGAAGTTAGGAATGAAGAGATGAATTCCTCCTCAAGGGAGAATCTGAAACTATTGCTAGGAATTAGTACCATGAAAGGAACTTCCCAAGAAAGCAGCTGCTTGGTGAATTTAGTATCTACTTGATTCCTGTGCCTGCAAGTATATGAAACCATTGAACAGTGGTATTCATTAAACAGGATGCTCACTGCTTTCACATCTAGGCTCAAAGGTGCATGCAGTGTTTGTGCAGGCTGTCTGTGTTCATCAGGGAAAGAATAGGAAAATATTGACAAGCATCCCTTTGTGAGTGTATGGAGTTAATCTACAGCACCAGTCTCTGGCTGATGTTTCTTTCCATTTTCTTTGTCAGGTCGCAGGCTGTACCGGGATGGAGCTTTGAAGCTGCTTGGCCGCCTTTCCCTTCTCTCTGAAGATGTCCTGTTGCTGGCAAATGGCTTACCAAATCCTTTTTGTTCATCTGATCATCTCTGCCTGCTGGCTAGCTTTGGCTTGGAGATCTCCAGCCTCAAGGAGGGTTAGTGTTGGTTCCCTTTCCCTGAAGAAAAGCCATTCTGAACACAGCAGTTGAGGCTCTGGATTGCAAAACCTGCTTGCAAGAAAACTCTTTTCTTTATCATGCCCTAAAAGTCCCTTTCTTCCCTCACATGCTCACAAAAAGCAGGGATGGGAGAGTTGGAGCACTTTTTGCATTGGTATTTTGTGGGTCTCTGCAAACCTGAGCTGTGTTCCCAGTGGGCTTCCAGTTGTATTCAGGCATTACCATCTCTAAAAGGGGTCCTTGTTCCACTGCTTTGTTTAGCAGATGTTATAGTGCTGCGGGAATCAATATAAATCACATATTTATTTGTCCCTGTGTGAGATCTTCAAGGAGCTGGGAAAGAGGGGCAACACTGCCTACTTCTGGTTAGTTAATTGCTACTAAGGAGCAGGGGATGTATACATCAATATTCTTTCACACCAAAACAATGGTGCTTTTAATTTCTCAGTGATAGTTTATGAAGTATGGTCCTTCCAGGACTAGTCGCCATGTTGCCTTTGAGAGTGTTGGCTCTGCTAACTGCTTGGAAATGGCTTTCACTTAATAATGTGTAAGGACTGTCTTCCTGGCAGAAGGTTTTGTGCAGTTGAACAGTTTCTACAAAAAGCCGCCTGCTGTGACTAATGGACCAGGGAATGGAATTGCTAGGAATGGAGCCAGGGGTTCTACAGAGCCACCCGCAGGAGCGCGAGAACTGCAGCAAAAGCCTAGAGGCCTTGGGGAAGGCTCCCTTCCTTTCTACCAGTCTCAGAATGGTACCTAGTTTGGCACTTGTAGGAAAAATATTTACGATCCTCGCAGTGAATATCAGGTGGAAAAAATCATCCTGCTAGGCATGACAACCCCAGGAGGCTATAGCTCTGGGAGGTCCCAAAAGAGTGATGGAAATGGAAGGCATGTAAGAGACAGCAGAACCATCAGATGGAAGAGCTGGTATTTGTCATTTGCCGTACTCTTTCTCTGTGCCCTCCCTATTCCATTCAGCCTGCCAGGGGTCAGATAGCCAACCTGTAGCATCCTCCTGTGCCAGACTGAAGTTCAGGCTGCTGCCTTCTTCTGGAGCCAGCCATGTTTAGGTAGGTAGAACCTGTAGGACTGGCTCCTGGGTCTTGACAGGTGTTGGGAGGGAAGGGAAGGCTCTGTAACTTGGAGCCAGATTGTCAATCACTTGGATGCCAGTGTACCTTTGGTGTCCTATCAGTGTACTTTTGTCAGCAGTGGCTTGGCCAGTACAAGAACAGTAGAACTGTACCTGTTCCTAGGGCAGATTCCCCAGTTTAGCCTGACGTTTGGTGCTCAGTTTTTCCATGAGAGATGAGAGCAATATTGGCAGAAACAGTATCAATCTTCTCTTTACAAATGAGGCAGGGAAATCTGGTCCCACCTCAGGTTTTTGTGGGAAGGTAAGAGACTTGAAATACTGTTCTCTCTTCTTGGGTTATATTGGAGGGCTTTCATATTTTAAATGTTACTTTCTTTATTGAAAATTAATTTTTTTTTAATCTAAGAAAAAACCACAAAGTAACTGCAGCACCTTGTGCTCCTGGCAGCTGAACCCTCTGAGGACTTGTTCAACAAGGCTTTGCTGGCTGGGATGTGAAAGAGGAGAGGACAAATTAGCTACACAGGATACTAGTAGTGAGGGTTGAAGGGAGGGAAGAAGTGGCCCTATCTGTATCCCAGCACATCCCCAAATCCCAGAGGTGGTTTATTTGGCATAGGGCTTGTCTTAGAAAATGGTTTGCATTCAGGAACCCTTCCCCTCCTCCCAAAGAAAGCAAGTACTGGTGATCTTTTACAGCTCACTTGTGTTAACTGTACAGAAATGAGGGGTGTGTGTGGGGATAGTGTTCTGTGCCCATATGATGGTGTAAAGACTGCATATTCCTTCTTGTCCCTACCAGATGGTGTGGTATTTGCCTGGTGATGTGTGGATGGCTTTTGCTACCCCAGTTGGGATAACATGTAGGAGTCCATATAAGTGAACAGCAATCTGCGGGTGAATAAGTTCGCAGCTTTGTTTGCCTTTAGTTTCACAGGTAATGGTTCTGGCATGGCACTGGCATTTGTATGTGGGGAGGGATGCAGAGCTGTGTATTTCTATGGCTCTGTTTATCTGACAGTTGCACTAATTTCTGCAAGTACTCTTATTCTGACTTTTTAGTTGGTTGTTTTTGTAAAGAGAGGGGAGGAAAGGGAAATCAGTGAACCAAGAGCTTTATCTTCTGCCAGGCTTGAAAAGAGGTTGCCAGAAAGCAGCCTGGTTGCAGATAACTCCCACCAGCTGGTAACACGGTAATAGGAAACCTGGAAGACACTGAAGATTTAAAAACAATCAACCAAAAGCAAACCATGGAACACCGTGACACATAGTGTTGGCACTTAAAACTTTGGCTATCTGCTTCAGTTGTAATTGCTGGCTAGGTCTGATGGTCAGCTGATGAGGTGTGTGTGTGTTTGTGTGAAAGCAGCCCTCCTGCCCCACCTATTGAGACCCATAAGGTGTGCACAGTACACCATCAGATGAACTGGTTGCCCCTGCACTGGCCAAAGCACCCTGCCAGTCCTGTGATGTAACTGAGGTGTAGGAGCTGTGCTTCAACATCACAAGTGCTTCTTCCATTTTATTTAAACCAAAGACTTGACTTTTCTTTTGGGTAACTTGCATCTCTCAGAGAGCTTTTAAGATTCCAGCTACATTTTTTGGAAAATCTAATGTTCTGCAGGTCAAGCCAATGCTTTCCCTTTTGATACATGAAATAGTACGGTATGAACTTGGAATGGTTAAGTTGTAGAACACTGGATATGGAGTCATGTGCTGAAAAACCCCAGGACAATGCCTGCAAGTCTTCTAATTCTTCTTTCTGAAGTTTAGAAAGCTCCTTCAGAGGGACCTGCAGCTCCCAAAGCTGTGGCTCGCACACGCTTTCTTGGGCATTCATGGGTGAAACTATTGCAGAAATGCAGGACCATTGCTAGTGACTGTGTACAGATTCACAAAGGCAGAGTTGAAGAGTTGATTGCTGTCATTGTTTTGACCACTGTCCCTGAAGCTCTGGTACAGACCCCTACAAAGTTGGCCTGTTTCAGGAAAGAAAACCTGTGTCCTAGAGCGATTTGGAGTTAACATCAAATGGAACTGGAGATGTGTGAATGTCTCTGGCTGTGGGGGACTATAGCAGAAGTTTGGAGGTGGGGTGGATGGAAAGAGTCCTTACCTGTAAAATAGTAACTAGTATATAGTTGTAGGGAGAAAATAATGTGTTCTGTGATGCTTTAAGAATAGCACACAGTAATATAATAAGAGGCAGTGGTAATAAGCAAGTCTTGGTGGGATGCAGAACTAAGATTGCAGATGTAGCTCTTAACACTGTTTCCTGACCTAAATGCATGACTAGTTGTCATTAGCACAGCTTTCTGATGAATTACAGAGGGGTCTGTAAATAGTTATGGCAGTGGAACACAGGAATATCTGCTATACTCAGAAAGGGAAGGTATTATAGAGGTAGGATCATCTACATCATCTTAGTAGTGATATAGAGCTCAGGAAGACTGGTGCTTAGGGAAAGGGATGGCAGAGACCACTGGCAGTGTGTATACATACCCTGTTACCAGTATCCTAAGCTGCAGGAGCATGTAGCTGTAGAGGCAAACACGTATTTGACGAAGTATTTTTGCTAGACAACAGCTTAGATTGCACCACAGCTGCTAGGCTGTATTTAGTTACGCTATTTAGACAGCAGTTGGACTTCCTTCACTTTCTCAGAGTTTTAAGTTCATCACTTCAGGAAGATGCCCTTTATAATCAGTTTTCCCAATTACATGGGATGGGAGGAGTGGTAAACAATATAATTGCTCTAGTTTCTTTCCTTTTCTAAATAAATGAAACTTGGCTGCTGCTTGAGGTCTTCTTTCTCCATGCCTTTTCCTTACAAGATATGTCTGCAGCAGCTGTTTTCCCATGACTGCCATATCCAGTTATCTGAGTTACTGATGTTTATTTGTTTCTGCAGCTGTATTTCTTCAGTTAAAAGCTATGTGTGGAATTCTTTAGGACTAAGTCTTATTATAAACTTAACATTTAAATAGTGTCAAGCCATAAGATAGTGGGTTCCCTCACCCCTGAAGAGTTAAGTGGGAGGGGTGGGAGCTCCGAAACCAACACTTAGATGGGAATAACTCTTGTTATATAAAACAAAAAAAAAAGGTTAAGATTTATCATTAGTGCCATGTATACCACCTGCTTTGTGAAGCACAGAACTCTGAAATATACTTGACCTTAGTTCCTCGTCTCTGAGCAGTCTCTTAGAGGCTCTAAGAACAGTTCAGCATCTCAGAGGGAATCTCTTTTAAGAGCTGATCAAGGTATGTGTCCTGCCTCTATTGGTATTTGAGAGTGATGCTGGCAAACGGTCTGCAAAGCAGGGTGTTGCTACGCTGCAATTTCTCCTCGCAGACATATCCATGGTTCATACAAATGCAGATGAAGCCTTTGGTGGCTCATCTAAAGGAGGAGCACACAAGCCTTAGTGGGATACCATCTCCATTCAGTAGGTTTCCTGTTGTGCAAGTTAATTGAATTGCTGGCTATAACCTGTTCCTTACCAGACTGTAACTGTCTGGCCTGTAGTGCTTTCCTTAGTGCTGTCACACTGAAATATGCAAACTGCATGATCACTGCCATTGAATGTACTGCATCGTGTTTCAAAGTATGATACTGAGTTTCTGTAGAGAACTCACCTGCTATAATGATAATCAAGATGACTGATTTAAGAGCTGGCATGCCTCAAGCTCCTTCCTTTTGTCAGGTGTACAAGTTTGGCTTCTCCTGTCAAGCCACGTTATCCTCTAACTTCCACTGAAAATGTCATTCTAGTCTTGAAGCTCTTTTTCCTTTTATTTATTTTTAAATTTATTTTATTTCAGGTCTAGACCGCACATTCTTGTGCTCTAAGGGAATAGGAATGCTGTATAGTAGAACTGGAAAATTTTTCCTAACTTTGGTTAGACAAACACAGCAGCTTTCAAGGTGCTGAGGTGGCAAATGGGAGAAGGACTAGGCTAGATGCTGGCATGTGCTACAACAAAAGATGCATTTGTTCCATCCAATCTTTCCTTTTATACACCAAAAAGACTTGGCTTCAAGCCTTAGCAATGTTACTTAGTTTTTTAGCCTTTTCTTTCTGGATGGAAAGCCTTCTACAGCAGTCTTAAGTTTATTCAGTTATTGGTCACTTCTAGGAGCCGTTTCTGAACTGGGGGCAGATGAATGCAGTAGTTATTCTAATGCTATTCCTCTCTTTCCTTCCTCCCCCAGAGTGAGGTTGGAGATAGGATGGCAGTCACTCTTTGCCAAAATAAAAATATAATCCAGGAAGGCCAACTCAGCTGAGTTAACTGAAGTCTGTCATGGCCTGCTATCCACAGCATGTCATACGCCTTTGCCTTCCGTAATCCTGCAGTCTGCATGAATGGTGCTCTTAAGGCTCAGTCTCGGTCTTATGAATGGATTTCTATATGCTTTTAGGCATGTGAGAGCCTTAAGTTTTGCAGTCTTGGGCTTCTCAGCGTAGTAGCTGACTGGGTTTCTTTTTTGTAATTTTTTTTTTCTTTTTTAATTACTGCTTCATTGAGTTGTGTATCCTTTCCACAAGAAAGGTTTTTCACTAAGGTCTAAGTAGCATAATGTCTAACTGACTTAAAAACCTAAAACTGCATGAACTATCAGTAGCAGGAAAGCCTTATCTAAGAGGGAGCAGAAAGTCTTGTTTTTAGTCTCAGCAGTGGCCAAGTCACTGTTTTGCCCTTCTTGCTCCATTGTCTAGCAATCACCCTGACCTATACATCTATAAGGGGTTTATGAGTTACCTGATTTTTAGCAAAATCTGTAAGACATGAGGCAGAGGGTATTTTCAAGCAAGCATCTGAAGTAGAGGTTTATAGAAGTCACAGCATTTTAGTCTTTTTTTGCTAATATTATTAATCTTTTTAAGTATTTAATAGGGGAGCAAGAAGCCTTCAACTGCTGCTGAAGTCTGTTGTCAACTCCTGGGCTTGAGCACAGGCCATGCAGACTTATGAAATGGCTACTTTCTTCTTTTGTGTCTTCATACCATATAGCAGGTGCTGTGCAATTACTTCCCCTCAGGACAGAAGTTGTTCTTATGATTAACTTAGCTACGAGGGACTATTGCATGTGCCATTCTCTTTGGAGTAACAGGTTAGGGGATGCTTATTCCTCTCCTCTGCACACTGTAGCCTTGCCTACATCCTGGCCCTGGTCCCAGCTATTACTCATTTCCCTAGAGAGAAGGGGTCTGAATAAAGTTGGATCCCCCTTGCTGGGGAAATGCACTGAATCTTGCAGCTGACTGTCCTTTATTAACCCAGCATTCGTCTTGAGAAGTCAGGATGAGGTCAGTAGTCTGGAAGGCCACTAAACTACAGACCTTAAGCAGAATTGCTTTTCAGGCCAGGAAGGGAGACTGGATCATATGTTAAAGTGTAGAGCAGTGGAAGCAGAGGCTTGTGTTAACCCTTACAGTATTGTTTCAAGACTGAAATGTCTGTTGCTGCATCCACTGACTTTTTTTTTCCATCCAGCCTGACTGATGGCAGTTCAAGAGGAAAAGATCAGTTTTAGCCTTTGCTACACAGCCACATACTTACTCTCTGGCAGCTGCCTCGGTCTGTACAGACATGCTCACCTGTTCAGATGACTGAAGGAGAATGAAGGTTCTTCCATGTCCATAGGGTTGCAAGTACAGGGCATCTATACATAATCTGTCTGATACCATCAGTCAAGGCTGTGCTTTTGACTTCTCAGCTGACTGACAACGGGAAAGTTGAAATTGGAAGGAAAGACAGTACAGACATCTTGTTTTCTCTGCACAAGCTGAGAGCAGTACAGAGGCAATTTTATTGTCTAAGTGTCAAAGGAAGCAGGAAGAAGTATCAACATGAGGGCTACGGGAAGTGCAGTAAGAACTAAATCTAAATACAAGTTCTGTGCTGGCTACATAAGAACGCAGAACCACACTGATTAATTACAAAAAGACACACATGATGCTTTTCTTAAAGAAAGAAACCTTCCATTTCTTAGTTCTGAGCTGTACCAGTGATAAAGATGTAAATGGTTTTGGAGCACCCTATCAGTGCTAGAGTAGAATACTGATGTGCATGGAAGGGGACCATTCTGGTCCCACTAGCACCATCTCAGCCCTGATCTGGAGGGAAACTCTGCTCTGCAGAGATTACAGGGGATTCAGTAGCCTTCTGGGCCTAAGTTGAGTTGCTCTTGAGCAGACAGGGCCAGGGCACCACTGAAGGAGAGTGGTTGTGATATAAGTAAACACCTGCTCAGAAAACAGACAAAAATACTAAATTCCCCTAGGGAGTTCAGCTTGGCTGTAGAGGGACCACCTCCACCTTGCTCTGGCAGA